CCACTACTAATTATGAGGAAAACATGACATGTAGATGGAGAGGCACAGACTAAATGGGAGTAAACAGATGTTTTGATATAGTTCTGCTGTTGTTACTTCAGTTTTTGGATTTCTCACGAGAAAAACAAAGTATTCTTCAAAAAAAAAAATGAGTTGGATACTCTCCACAGAAAATACTGCCCGTAGTTTTCACCTGAACTACTTTGTACTAAACAATTGAAAACTGTTCCCAGCTGACAGAAATGGATGTTCACTAAGAGAGGTCTGCTTGTGCTCTGCTCTCTCTGCTAGGACCTTCTGGGTGTGGGCTATGGTCAGTCTGGCTCCAGTAAGCAGAAACCAGGCCTGGTGTGCTGCTGGTCTCTCAAAAATATCACGGTATGACTCCTTTATTTAGCTCCAGGGGCTCCATGTGTCCCCAGCAGTATGCAGAAGGTTGACTGTGTGCCAGCTGTCCATTCCAGATCTTGTCTTGTGTCTCCTCTGCAGTGGCCTGAGCGTGCCATCCAGTGTGACAGCGCTGTGACTTCCCTGGATTTCTCATCCAATAACCCGAGTCAGCTGGCTGTGGGCATGCAGGACGGCAGCATTGCTATCTACAATGTGAAGAGTCAAGATAGCGAGTCATGTGTCCTCAGCAGCAGGTGCGTGTGGACAGCTCAGCTTTTACATCACACACTGAAGAGAACGTTCTTTACTTCTGTGTGTGTGTGTGTGTGTGTGTGTGTGTGTGTGTGTGTGTGTGTGCAGTGAATGTCCCAACAGGCACTTGGATCCAGTGTGGCAGCTCAGATGGACCCAGCAGGAGTTGAGGCTGACAGGAGAGGAGATGGTGGAGTCTCTCTTTTCTGTGGCTGCAGACGGAAGGATCAGCAAGTGGTTTATCTGCAGCAGTGGCCTCGACTGCATAGGTACTGTGCTCAGCACCAGCACATGGCTTTACCATTGTCTATTTAGCTTGACCTGCGTAGCGATACAATCTGTAAGACTATCCATCTGTCTATCTATCTGTATAACGTAATCATTTATCTTGTCATAGACCTGATGAAGCTCAAGAAGATCCAGAGTACCAAGAAGAAGGCAGAAAATGTTCTGTCAGCTCTTACTCCTGGTCTGTGTTTTGACTTCCATCCAACCGTGAGTTGATGAGAGAACTTCTCAACATGAGTTGACGAGAATGTAGTTCTTGGGCTTCAAACTTGTTTCTGTGGAAAATACCATATTCACAGATATCTTTTGTGATAATGCAGTGCTGACTTTCAGTAAAACACATTTCTAAGGTTGATTTTAAGTGAACTTTGACTTTGTAAATGATTGTTGTCATCATTGTGTTTTATTGTTGCACCAGGAATCCAGTGTCTATTTGGTCGGCACATTAGAAGGGCTCATTCACAAGTGCTCCTTTTCCAACAATCAGCACTTTCTGGAGACGTACAGGAAGCACTTTGTAAGTCCATCACTGACCTCTCCTTCTGATAAGCACGTAAAACACCAAAGACCACAAGGCCTCAGAAGCTCACATTTCATTTCATCAGTAGCGATTGTTTCAAATCCATTCATGCTCTGTCCCACAATGCATTGCTTACTGGCCCTTAGCTCTGTCCTATAACATGCAGTCAAATGTTTAACTTTAGTGATATTGCTACTTTTAATTAATGTTGGTTTGCAGGTATGTGAATTCTTTGAATAGTAACACTGTTGTGTCTTGATGAACAGGATTTATCCACATAAGCACAGTGAAGGACATGCATGCCATGAGCTCAGGGGGACAAATACGGAGAAACAAGCATCTCTGAGTAGAGTTAGGTTAATGTATCAAAGCTCATCACTGAGCTTACCTCATCTGGAAACATGTCTCCAGTTGTATCCACAGCAGGCTTCCAATGTGTCAGTAGACACATATGGACTCAGACAGTCTCAATATGAATGAATGCTCACAGAAGGTTCCACAAATGTGTTTTTTCATTTATTTAAAAGACTCTTTACACTAAAATATTTTTCAATGCACACAAAAAGAGTTATTATATATAAATATAAACAAAATCCACAGATAAAATAGTAAGATTCATAAATATCAAAAAATATTTCTTGCTTTAAATAAATGGAATAGAAATCCACAGATCCACATTAATTGCGGCAATACGTATAAACAGTATAAACAATCATTCCATATTTTCTCTACTAATGTTGAAAAATCATCTCTTCAAGGTACTAGAAGTAAACATCTTCTGGGGCTAAAGCAATAATCATCAAGATGTGACCACTTATTGATGTTGTTCTTTGGGTTCGTCAGAGAGGCCTTTGGTAACATCAGTCACATCTCACCCCCTCAGTGTCCTGTGAACCGCATCACATGGAGTCCACTCTGTCCAGATGTGTTCCTGAGCTGCTCCTCTGACTGGACCATCCAGCTGTGGAAGCAGGACCACCATTTCCCCATGTTCGGCTTCAGCTCCACCCAGATAGCAGTATGTGACATCAAGTGGTCCCCGAAGTGGGCCACAGTATTTGGAGCCATTAATGAGGAACAACTGGAGATCTGGGACCTGAATTCAAGCATGTGAGTGCCTGGGATTGTTCTCTGTCTCACTATTTGTTTCTGTGATGTGAAGCCTGTGCCAAGAGTAATCACGTGTGTCCTCCATGTACACTTCAGCCTGGACCCAATCATTGTGCAGCCTGCTGCGGCTGGTGTGAAGATGGAGTCCCTGGTGTTCGCCGCACAGACAGACTGTGTCCTGGTAGGAGACAGTGACGGACACGTGACCGTCTACCAGCTCAAGAACCTCAGTGTGGGAGAGAGCAGCCAGGTACAACTGAGGACCTTTTTGCAGAAAGGACATTCCTAGCCCTGCCTTTGTGCAGGGCTAGGAATGTCTGTAGGGTAAATAGTAGTGCTGGGCAAGTTAACGTGTTAATTTCGCGTTAACGCATTCATTCATTAACGCCGACAATTATTTTATCGCGCGTTAACGCATTTTTAAAATTTATTATAATTTTTTATTTTTATTTTTTTATTGAAAGACAAGAGACAATACATATACATAACAACAAGAGGATGACAAGAACAGTGGGGTAAAAGCCAGCAAACATCCTATAGTCGGTCAGATTAGGGCGAGACAACATCCGGTTTCTTCAGACGAACATCCGGTTTTCAGAATAAGATGCCAACAAAGTATGAATTATATTCACATTAAGTATAAAACATGCTACCTGCATCTCGTGAACCAAATGTTATTGCCCTTTTGTTCATATAGCAGTACTTTTAAAATAAAAGTGCGCAATACACTACTTTTGAATTTATGATTGAACTTTGCCATAACAATGCGATTAATCGCAAAAAATCCATGCGATTAATCGCGATTAAATATTTTAATCGTTGCCCAGCACTAGCAAATAGATTCATAGAAAAATTAATTATGCAAAGCCATAAAAATGACATGAAAATATGTTATCAATTAATTAATTTAATTGTGTGTCCAGAGGCTCAGACAAAGTTCTAAGCACAAAGAGCATGGCTTGTTGATAGAGGTGCTTGCTGTTGTGCAGCACAGCCGTAGCTATTTATATTTCCTGACAGTTATAAGGGAAATATATTTGTTTTGTTCTACATATTACTGATCTTACTGAATTACATAGATGTAATTGTCTTCTAAAACACACAACAGCATCTGCCCTGAGAGCAGATTTGGGGCAACAGATGATAAATTCAGTGTATTATCACAGATATTAATATGTGGGAAACTATCGGCCTATATTGAAATTTGCTGTGCTGTCTTTTGTTATCACTGTTGCAGTCCTTCCAGGAGAAGAACAGTTTTCAGTTTTGTTTAGCTCATTATGTAGTCTAAAGAGGAGAGGATTAGCCGCTATCACAGCTGATATATTTATGTTAATAAAATGCATTATTCATTCATTATTATTCATACTTTTACTAGATACATACTAGAAATGTAATCTCCTGCCACAAGCTTGACTGTGTCCAGTCAGATGTGTCAGAGGACTGCTCTTTCAGTCTGAATGCACTGATGCTTTCTCACTAATAGATGTTATTTAGTTTAGCATATGGAAAACAAAACGCTGTTCAATGATTCAACCAGACCGACAACTGAGAGAGACAAAGATCCTCTGAGCGACAGTTGAAAAGAGAATAAATCAGCATCATCGGTTAATTACACTGGAGGCTTGGATTTAAACAGGAACAGCTTCCTGTTTCAGTATTAGAAGCTTCACAATAAAAGCACCCTAGAACAAACTGGAATTAGCAAAGCTCTTCTTCAGACTTAACAGTGGAAATAGATGGTTAATCTAGGGTTAGCACTGTTGCAATATCAACTGAACTAATCACAGGTTAAACCTCTTCAATCAGAGACACTAACTCAATATTTGCAGTTCAATAATGAAACAAATTCAACATCAAGTTCAACAGTATTCTGTCATGTAACTCTGTGGAAGTTTGAATCATTTCATTCTTATTTTGGGGACAAAACGATTCCAGATGTTAACAACACTAATTACTATTCAGTGTAATCCTGGGCTGTCCTTGACATACTGACGTCTCTGTTAATGTGCACTAGCTTGAAGGCATTTGATGCAGTGGGGAAGCTTCTTTCCTCAGTTACATGGACACATGATGGTCGACTCACATGACAAACAACCCACAGCGTCCCTCCTGTCTTTCAGGTGGATATTCTGGAGGGCATCCTTCGCTCTGCTGCTCCCAAACAGCTTTAAGAAACACAGACAGATGTAAACCCAAACCATTTGGGTTTCTGTCTGCGAACACGACATCAGTACACAGAAAAGTGTGTCCAGATCTATAAGTAACACAGGTGTATTTTGGCATAGGTCATTACTGTACGTTGTCCTTTACTGTTGAAAGCATCAGACTAAACATAATGGTTAAGATTGTTCAGAGTTCAAGCTTCAAGGGAACAGAAAAGTCACTTCATTTCATTTGAATTCTATTTCATTGTTGTGCAAAAGAAGAATGAATATTATTCTTTAAATAACACACCATATTTCATTTTTATGTGACTGTAGTTTATAAAGTCCTGAAGCCATTCAAATCCTCCAATTCCCCAAATCAATGCCAATGAGCTCAGTGTCTGGTAGCTGGGACCACTCCTGTGGAATAGACCTACCATTGCTGAAATCAATATGAAATAGAACATAAATTATGCTTATATTTCAGTCTTAATCATCCCTGTATACTGAAGAGTTGACTGATTCCTGTGCATGATGAAATGCTTTGAGTCAGAGGTCTGCTGACACCTTGTGACCAGATTTAGTAGGACAGAAGATTGAGTGAAAAGAGGTGAATCTTATTCGTCTGACTCTACCTGCTTGACCTGCTCGGATGCTTTGTTGGTCATACAAAAGTTAAGATGAGTTTACTTTTCTCCAACTCTCCTGGCTTCCTCTCATTACTCTGAATTGATGTGTTTTCCTTTTATCTTGTGCATTTCTATATTATATAGCAAGCTACCAGGGCTCTCTCTCCTCCTTCAGATCAATCATTTTAAAATGATGTAAAGGATAGTCAGGACAGACAAACAGGAAAAGGGGAGAGGACGACATGCAGCACAGCACTGCGGGTCGGATCTGTAAGGTCTCAGCTTTGGTACATTAACATTCAATGATTGTTGAAGATTAAACTAGCGGTTGGCAAACCTTTTTGGATTGTGACCCCTTACAATAAAAGGGCTCTGGGTGGAACGCCGTGTCACATTTCAGATGTGTGCGAGTTAGCAGTACCACCAAAGACTAAACTTCTCAAATGATCTCATGTTAGCAATAGTTTGTCACCAGAATCAACAGACTAGTAGAGGACAGATCCACCTTTTACCCAACCAAGCACAGTGTGTTTCTGTATGTGCATGTGAAAATGCACACACTGTAAAAGCAGATTTTTTTTTGGCAAGAAAAATGTCCTTTAAGTTTAAACCAAACCTACACCCTTGATCTCAAGACCCCAGAACCACTGGACTAAACCACCAAACTGACTCCACATGGACCAGCCTCAACACTAAAGTACTACTTCTGCATTCATGCATCAGTATGAACAATGAGTCATATGTACCTGGTGTACAATAATGAATGCAGAACTTCAGAGTACTTCTTCCACCACGAATATTGTGGATGTTTATAGCAGCGGGTATTTACATTCATGATTTTATATCTCTTGTTTTTAAGAATCAGAGGTTTCTAAAAATCTGTGGAAAGTGAACTTAACAAATCATAAAGTTAACTATCTTCAAGTTCTAAATGGAATTGGTGAGGCCGCTCAGTCACAGCTTTGCTTCATCAGACTACTCTGATGTGATCAGCTCCTCTTCACTCTTGTACAAGGATGTTACAGCATCTTTTAGAGGAAGTGGCAAATACACAAAAAGTATTCATCAAAAAAGACGAGTCGTTGCCGTGTTGTCCCAAACCTTTTATTGCAGCAAAAGATCATTTACAGAAAACTGTGACACTTCAAATATCCACAATCCATCATTACTTCACAATAATTTAAGCATCATCAGTATTAGACCTGCAGACAGCTGAGGCAGCTGTTAACAAACAACTGTATTTCCTCATAATACTGTGGAGCTCGTCTACTGTTTCCAGCCGTCAACAACTGACCCCCTCTTTGTCTGGGAGCACCGCTGTCCATGTCATCGCAGCACGTACATGACTTCTCATCAAAGATCAGTAATGAAAGAGATCCTAATCTGTTTCACCGGGTTGCTGCAGTGTGTGGTTGCTCTGCGGCTTTATTTCATTGCTCTTCCTTTTGTATTGTTAGAGAATAAACCATTGTCCTGAAGTAGCACAGCCCCTTAAACCTGCCTGTCAAACATCTTATGGCTTTGTGAAAAGCTTTCAACGTATTTTCAAAAATTTTTTTTTTTTTTTTTTTTAAACGTTAACTTTTAAAAATCTAGAAGCTCTCTCTTGGTAAAGACTGTAATCTTCAATGTTAAAAAGGTTTTACAGTTCACATTGACTTACAAAGTGTCAGGAAGTAGAAAAGACCAGCTAGTAGACGAGACATCCTACAAAAACTTCTACTGCACACCATGAAAACAATCTGGTAGTTACAAAATGTCAGGACTAGAAACACAAAGTGGGTCTGTGACACCAAATAAAAGAATAAAAAAAGAGGTATGTTTTACGTGGTCTCTGTTCTTCCACTAGTAGTGTTGTGATTTATCCTAAAACATCAGATCGACATATTGTTTGTCCGCATCCCAACAGGAATGTGTTCTCCACAGAGCTGCACCCATTTACCCAAAGCTAAAATATCTTCTGATGCAACAGGGACACCAGAGGATGTTTACCTGCAGATCTGGCCATCGCCTTCAAAATAAGATGCATAACGCTCTCATAATTCCACAATTTTAATTCTGCGATGGAATGATGTTTTGCTCTCTGATAACAGGGCCCTGCTACCGAGGATCAGTGACTGAAACACACACCAAGACAAATTCTGATTCTGTCACAAAGGAAAAGGGAAGAGTGACTAAAGAAACGTGTCGCCAACTTTCCCTTTTAGTAAATAAAAAACATGTCACTGATGATAAAAACAAAGATGTCGGATAATTTAACTGGAGGCCGACTTCCACAGGAATATGATGCCTGATGCATTTCTCCATTTGTGATTCAGAGAAAAGAAAGTGGAGTCTGGATCACACGGGGTTAAAATGCTTCAGTGCTACTATCCTGTCTGCATCAGCCTGCTAGACCAGATCCATGTATAGCTGGTGTGTTTAAAAAAAAAACAGTCTTTACACCACAGTGCGACAGCTTTGCACCATCCATTATGTCCTAATTTACATCACAGTTTAAACTCAAGAAACAGAAGTTTAAAGTTACAACTTCATTTTAAAATGATTTGATAGGATAGTTTGATGGTCTTTGTAACCGTATCCGGAAAGAATTAAGAGCAAGGAATCGACGGAACACAAACACACAGAGGTAAAGGTAGCGAGAGAACAAATGAGGAGAAAATAGTTCAACAGTCTCAAAAGTACATCATGACTCTAGGGCTCACTGAGAGGGTTGACTAGTAGAAGAGATGTGTCAACACACAAGAACATGCTCATCACGGGAAACAAAAGGAATTCATCCGCACACATGCTCACACACACACACACACACACACACACACACACACACACACACACACAAGCTCTCTCCGAATTCACATGCTAGCATAAGGCTCATACTCAGTGGTAAGTAAACTGGCTGGGTGAGGAGGGGTGAGGGAAGTGGGTGAGAGAGATCACGACAGCTTTGCATAGAATCTACAATGCTGTGACCAGAACTACACAGCTGAATGGAAATGTTCTTCGTAATTCTGAACTTGCCCTGCAATAGAGTGGAGGACATTACACCTTTAGTTTGATTACTAAATTTGAAATATTTTATTATTACCTCCATCAAGCAGATTTCTTATCAGCAGGAGGGAAAGGTCCAGAGGGGATAAACTCTGCAGTGTTGGGTTCGCTAAGTTTAGTATCTGTGAATCTTCTGACCCAACAAAGTCACCTCACTGTATAGACCCCAATCTCCTGGCTCAGCCGTGCACGTTGGCCTCAAGTTTGGTTAGCAACAGAATTGAGCTCCAGGAAGCCAAACTAAGAGACTTCAAAATAAAGTTCCAGACTGGTTTAAAGTTACAGCTCTTGCAGATAAGACTCCGGTAAACTAGCTGCAAGTAGAGCACATAGCGTTCACATGGCTTGACCATCTGGCCTCAGTCACACAGAACTACATCACCCTGAACACAAATGGAAATGGGGGCTCTACTTAAAGAAACAAAGAACGGGATTCAGGGGAAAACAAGAAGGGGAAAAACAGGAGTACCGTAAAAGATAATAATTCATCCATTATCTCACATTTACACCAAAAGGGACATTTGAAGGAAGGTGTGAAAACAGGGGGGGGGGGGGGCCACACAGGGGGGAAGAGAGTGTTGTCATAACAACTCAATTTCTTTTCTGTGGAGGAGGAGAGGCGCATCATCGCTCTGAGCATGCTCAGATGGTGCTGATGCAAGGTCATTGGGTCCCTGCTCCGTCACCACGACGACCGCGGCAGCCTTTACGTTTCTGTGGAAAGCACAAACAGGAAGTTGACTTCTTGCTCTTGTATTGGAAGGAGGATAATATTGGAGGATGAGATGCTCCTGTAAAGAATTTAATCAATATAAATTACAATCTTTTATTTTCTTATCATTAGAAGTTTGTGATTTTATGAAGAAAAACAACTATAAATTACTATAAGGAAGTGAAACGATAACATTTGGATATTTTGATGGTTTAAACCCACCTTCAGAGCGGAGAAACAGGAGGAAGACATTAGGTCATACACAGCAGAAGTCATCATTGTGAGTATAAAGCAGAATGAACACAATGTTTACCTGTGGGCTCGTCCTGAATCTGTTCTTCTGTCTCCACAAACTCTGCTGCTGCAAAGAGAAACACACACGTTCAAATATTGGCATGATATCATCTCACAAAGCTTTTGTCCCCATTAAATGTACAATGCATCTCTCTCCTGGTGCAGGACTTTGTGTCTGTGCCCACCTTCTTCTGCTGCCTCCTCTACTTCGTGTTCTACTTCATCTTCCGTCTCTGTGAATGTGGAACAAGAAACATTTAGAACCATGAACTCGAAAAACAGAATTAGCACCAACAAAAGAAAGCCAGGTGGACGATGTTACTGGCCCAGTAGCACGCAATATATTCGATGTTTTCATAGACCCTGATGAACCGGGCCACAGGAACTTGAATCTGTCCCAATGGTTCAGTTGTCAGTGTTGAGTTGGTTAATAGAGCTTCTTTGTCCACTGTTGGACGAGCTCTGAATCATGCAGGAACCTCAGTGCCGTGGTGACCACTGAACAGTTCCACTAGACGGCTACAGTCAGGCTTTGATAGCGGACTGAAGAAAAGTCATAGAACGATCGACAACATCTTCAACTGAAGCCCCGTCATTGACATGCTATATAGAACGTATTAATCCAGACAAAAAACTAAATTTGACGTCATATCTGCCAGATTATTTTAGGCTCTGAGCAGGCAACAAGTGTAGACTCCAGGAAGTAACATGTCACTGGCAAGATAAAGTGTAGCACACAACCGCCTGTAAAACAGCAAAACGCTGTTAAAAAATGGAATATAATGTGTTTAATAGTCTGTTGATTTGTTACAGCTAGGGATAGCCGTTTCTAACGGTTTCTACTGCTAAGCTAACCAACTCTTGGCTGAAGCTTCGTATTTAAAATAGTACTCCATCAATTTAATTTAAAAAGAGAGACAGAGAGATAGAAACGACACAGCAGAGTCAGAGATACTGGGTTTTTAATTCTACACGATGTACTTCCTTGTCAAGATCCGGTTGTGTTATGCTAGTAGCTGTTAATGTGGCCTCAAGCAACTAGCGGAGATGAGGAGTGGGCTACAGAGGTCTGGTGAACTCAACTCGGTCTCCACAACCCCCGACTTTCCAATTTCAAACTTGTAACTTGAGTTACACAGCTCCCTCTGGAGAATGCTTTAAACAATGCCCAGGACCTTTAAATAGACATGTGTAAAGTTTGTGGAGTTCGACTGTAATGTGGACAGTGGTATCAAACTAATGCTGAATAAGCACACATCCCAAAATGTTGGGACTATTTATTTAAGCCAAATGTTGGCATCAGTACTTCCTTGCTTTCCTCCTTACCTGCTACTGTTTGCTCCTCAACTACTACGCCTTCAGGAGCAGCCTCTGTGTCTGCGGCCTCCTCCACAGCAGGATCTTCTACAGCTTCTTCTGTTGGAGCTGCCTCCTCTTCCACAGCTGCCTCCTCCTCTTCGGCTACATCCTCAACAGCTTCTTCTGTTGGAGCCGCCTCCTCCTCAGCAGGCTCCTCATCTTCCACTATCTCCTCCACATCCTCCTCAACAGCTTCATCCTCTTCAGTGGGCTCATCAAAAGATTCTTCTGCCGGAGCGCTCTCTTCCTCTACAGTCTCAACATCTGACGCCACCTCTTCAGCAGCAGCCTCCTCCTCGGCCTCCTGTGCCGTAGCGGGTTCTTCCATAGACTCATCTGCAGCCGCCTCTTCCTCCTCTTCCTCGGCCTCCTCGAATGCAGCCTCCACCTCTACTGCAAGTTCCTCCACAGCCTCGTAAGCCACCTCTTCCTCCACAGCCTCCTCAGCAGCCTCTTCCTCAGCAGCCTCCTCCTCCTCCTCCACAGCAGCCTCCTCCTCAACAGCCTCCTCTTCCTCGACAGCCTCCTCAGCAGCCTCTTCCTCCACAGACTCCTCAGCAGCCTCTTCCTCCACAGACTCCTCAGCAGCCTCTTCCTCCACAGACTCCTCAGCAGCCTCCTCCTCCTCCTCAGCAGCCTGCTCTGTTTCCTCTTCAGGTGCTGCCTCCTCTTCAGTCTGGTTGGCCATCATTTCTTCAACCTCCTCAACTGGAACAGCCTGAAAAAGGTTATAAAAAGAAATGGCGTTACACAGTTTTGATTAGCTTTAAAACGTGTGGATATATTTGACAAAATCAAAGGAAACTGTTTTCTTGCTTTCATGTGGTTGAAAAGTTGCCAACAACAGCACCTTTTGGTGCTGAATGATATTTGAACACGATCATTCTTAAAGAAGTGAAGGTGCTGGTGGTGATCATAGCTAGAACCTGTGCCACAGTGGAATGTGGCTTCACCAGAGGACCAGCAGTGGTTCCCATTAGTTACCTACACTGTGGTGACTTTTTTGCTGTGTCATCACCATTCATATTTATACAACCAATGATGAACTTGTTTTGCTACAAGTACCCCAAATTGTAATTAAGAACAGTACTTGAGTAAATCTACTTAGTGACATTCCACTGCTGCTAAAACAAGAGCACAACGTTCTTCATTGATCTAGCCTGCTCTCAGAGGGCACCACATTGATGCATTCAACTTTAAAATGTACACAAAGTTCTTCCAAACCAGTTGTTTGGAGTTGTAAAGATTCACTACTCTGGGCATCTATACTTTGAGTGAACAGGTCTGGTTCAGGAACCTTCTTTGCTACGAGCTACTTCTCCAATTGTCCGACAAACTGGGGCACAGCTAGGTTACAACTGACATAGTGCACACACAGAGACTAGAGCAAAAACACAGCGGCTCGTTAAAAGAGGATGATGTCTGTAGTTTGTTGAATAGTGGAATGTGGGAGTAACATGAATTGACATTGCATTATACCTCTAAGCACTAAAATCAACAGAAATACTAGACCTGCTGGCAGGTTACCGGGGTCCTGTGTGTTAGTTATCTAGCAATAGCCCACCCTGGTAGTTACTGTAGAAATGTACTGTTCTTTAAGTTGTTTTTTGTTGTAGCTTTAAACTAAGTAGGGGCCTCAAGGTGCTATTCATTACTTGAATAGAAATGTTTAAAAAAACATCACTAACACCACCGCGCTTACTATCAGTATATTTGTATCATTTTATATCATTTTTTAACTATAAGTATCATAGAAATCCTCTGAAACAGGTGCTACACTCGTTACCTGCAGGAGGCGTACATTTTTCATTTTAACAGCTATTATTTTGGATTGTATGAAGCAGTACTGACACCTGCAGGTCTTCATTCCTACTGGGACTACAGACTAGGAAATAAAGATCTTTGTGTAGTATTTGTTGTGCTTAAGTGCACATGCTTTTAAATCTGAGGTAAATATGACATACCTCCTCCACAGGGGCCTCCTCTTCCTCAGCAGGAGGCTCCTCCTCCAGCACCTCTGGTTCCTCCTCAATCACCTGAAAAGGAATACACCACCCACATGTCATCAAAAGGTTCATACTTTGTGCAAGTAGTTTAAGTATCAGGTTACTATACTCCGATTCTTTTAAGGACTCAGTGTTTCACCAATTCATTTAAAATTAACCTTCTTCTGTATATTTGATTTTACAAGTTAAACTTTAAGCAGAGAAGTTTTGGAAAAGGATCAAGATTGGCTGTCTCTAATTGGACCCAGTTTCACTAAAGTTTTATAATAATCAACCTGGTCTGTACCAACCTCAGGAGTCTCCACAGGCTCTGGCTCTTCCTCAGGTTCTTCCTCAGGTTCAGGCTCAGGCTCTACAGGGAGAGGCAGATTGTTATAAGATTCTCTCTCTCTCACCTACTCTAAATCACCTACTGCTACCTACCACACCTGGACTTACATCGGTGGAGTACTTCTAGTGTTCTCAAATATGACACAAAAACTAGACAGCATGCTGTATGTACAACATCAACAACGCTCTCCAAATAACAACTGTGTTGAGAAAAAATTATTCAATGAAAGATTAAGAAAGTGGGTCTAAAAGTGCATGGAGACCCTCCTAGCTATACTGTAGTGTAACTAGACATTTAAATGTGACACACGGAATTTCTCTGCATTTATTAACTGTCTGCCTGCATCGATGAGGGCCATTATCTCTCACTCTCTCTCACACACACACACACACACACACACACACACACACACACACACACACACACACACACACACACACACACCTGGTGGTGGTGCAGAAGAGTCCTCTGCTACAGCAGCTTCAATCACATCTTCCAGAGGCTCAGGCTCAACAACAGCTGAGAAAGGAGGTGATACAGGTTTCAATTTTGCATTCCATTGAAATTGAAAAAGAAAGAGGATTATTCAACCAAGCAGTTCAACTTTGAGGACTCATCAGTATGTTAAATGGTCCACTGCCAAACATATGACCAACTCAGAAGTATTTCAATAAAATGTGATTATCCTACATTCACTCATTGCAGCTACATCAACACAGAAGCAGAATAATCTGTGACACGGTTGCTTTTCTTCAGTTTGTTTCATTTTGGTTCCGATTTCATCATTAAAGACTACTTTATTGTCAACTTCTTTCCTTAGCCAAAATCACTTTGGATTTGTCAAACACAATTGCTGCATTCCATCAACACCTTGATGTTATGTGTTAATGTTTAGTGACAAATGTTCATTTTTCTCCAATGACTCTTTGAAATGTCATGGTGAACGGCATACATGAGGGAAGACGTCTGGCAGTTGTGCCTCTTCAGCACAACTGCTAAGGAGAGTCCAGGTTCATTTTGGCCAAAGTAACTTCAACAAAGCAGGAAGCTGCCAAGAACACTAAATAAAAAGTGCCCCTAAAATTTTTTTTAAAAAAGTTATAATCACTCAAAATATAACTAATCTTTACAATCAAACTCATTTATCATTAAATATTTGCAGTGGCCAGTATTAATTGCTACATAGGCACAGGTAAATGTCACCAGCTAAGTAGAACTATAAAGACGTTAACTACAGTATAGTTTACTGTTTGTACAATTACACATTTAATCAAGTCCTTCATGACGATTTCAAAATAAACCCATATTCGTCACCGAAATACATATTGTGACGCTGTCATACTGTTACCGCTAACATATACTGTGTGTTACCTAACATTACCGCTAACATACAGTGGGTACGGAAAGAGTCTCTCTCTCTCTCTCTCTCCCTCTCTTCCTTTCCTTTCCTCTCCAAGTTTTTCACACCTGGATTTGGGGATCCTCTGCCAGTCTTCCTTGCAGATCCTCTCCAGTTCCGTCAGGTTGGATGGTGAACGTTGGTGGACAGCCATTTTCAGGTCTCTCCAGAGATGCTCAATTGGGTTTAGGTCAGGGCTCTGGCTGGGCCAGTCAAGAATGCTCACAGAGTTGTTCCGAAGCCACTCCTTTGTTATTTTAGCTGTGTGCTTAGGGTCATTGTCTTGTTGGAAGGTGAACCTTCGGCCCAGTCTGAGGTCCAGAGCACTCTGGAAGAGGTTTTCTTCCAGGATATCTCTGTACGTGGCCGCATTCATCTTTCCTTCAATTGCAACCAGTCGTCCTGTCACTGCAGCTGAAAAACACCCCCATAGCATGATGCTGCCACCACCATGTTTCACTGTTGGGATTGTATTGGGCAGGTGATGAGCAGTGCCTGGTTTTCTCCACACATACCGCTTAGAATTAACGCCAAAAAGTTCAATCTTGGTCTCATCAGACCAGAGAATCTTATTTCTCATAGTCTGGGAGTCCTTCATGTGTTTTTTGGCAAACTCTATGCGGGCTTTCATATGTCTTGCACTGAGGAGAGGCTTCCGTCGGGCCACTCTGCCATAAAGCCCCGACTGGTGGAGGGCTGCAGTGATAGTTGACTTTGTGGAACTTTCTCCCATCTCCCTACTGCATCTCTGGAGCTCAGCCACAGTGATCTTTGGGTTCTTCTTTACCTCTCTCACCAAGGCTCTTCTTCCACGATTGCTCAGTTTGGCTGGACGGCCAGGTCTAGGAAGAGTTCTGGTTGTCCCAAACTTCTTCCATTTCCACATTGAGTGCTGCAGAAATTCTTTTGTAACCTTGGCCAGATCTGTGCCTTGCCACAATTCTGTCTCTGAGCTCCTTGGGCAGTTCCTTCGACCTCATGATTCTCATTTGCTCTGACATGCACTGTGAGCTGTAAGGTCTTATATATATTTAAAGGGTTCTGAATACTTTCCGTACCCACTGTATACTGTATGTTATCTACCATTACCGCCAACATATACTGTGTGTTACCTACCGTTAACGCTAACATATACTGTTATCTACCGTTAACGCTAACATATACTGTGTTATCTACCGTTAACACTAACATATACTGTGTTATCTACCGTTAACGCTAACATATACTGTGTGTTATCTACGACAACATATACTGTGTGTTATCTACGGTTACGATAACGTATACTGTGACGCTGCCATACCGTTACCGCCAACATATACGGTGTGTTATCTACGGTTACGATAACATATACTGTAACGCTGCCATACTGTGGAAATCTGTCACCATAGAACACCTGTGTTCCTTCTCCTCCCATGATCTATCAACAGGTTCCTGTGAAGACACAGCAGTGAACATGTGCATGTGTGTACCTTCTGGTGTCAGTTGAACTTCTGGAATCTCCACTGGAGCAGCAGCTTCTTCACGACGGGAAGTGACAACCACAGCCTTCTCTTTCAGTCCTACATGAGATGAATGCACATGTTGCTGGCAGGAAACGTGTACATTACAGACATAGGAGACGTACAGTACATGTGTACAGACTCCTCGATCACACTGAAAAATATCAGCTCATATTTAATGACGGGTTTAAATAGGCCACATTTCATACACATATATGAAGAAGACATACTGCATACAACAGTCTAGCTGGTATTGCTAGTGGGGCATGATCACATCGCATGACCACCTGATTAAGGCATGGGGTTTCTTTTGCAGACTGACTGACTTTAATCAGATATCTCAAACACAAGATCGTCCGAATGATGCGTCTTAAAGTATCAAAAACCTTGTGTTACATTTCAACAGATATTCCTGACTAATTTTGTTTTCAAATGAATGGTAATTAATGTGTGCAGAAAAAATGCGTGTTACCCAAGACAAGTAACCCTTTAAAAGTGTACTTTGAGTCTTCTGGACTGAGGTGGACCCACAGACAAAGGCTTATAGTCATAAAAGAGGCACTTATTTTACTTACTTTATTGACAAAAGAAAATTCATGAAAACTCACTCTCATAATTAGTGAATTACATTTATTTTCAATGTAGTCAAATTTAAACATGATCATGAGCATCACACTTGATAAACACCGAGTATCGATCAGTGCTCTTTTTGATCCCTTCAAATAACTTTCTCCATTACTCCCATCCTTCCCAATATCCCAGTATTTCCTCATCATGGAGGATACACCAACATCTCCGACAGTGATTTTAACTGGTCAGTTCAGAACCCAGAAGTGTAGCAAATTACCAACTCAGCATTTTGTTCTGTCTCTCTCTCAACATAGACCTAGAAGTCTATGAATAAAGCAAAAAGCATTAACACATAATGAAACAAATTAACAAACATAGGAAGCATTTCTAGCTAGACTTTTTTTTTTTCTTTAACCATTTCAGAAAATCAACTGTTCTACTGGGTTGATGCTTTTAGGCCCACTAACAAATCCTGTTACAATAACTTCTTATTCTCTTGGGTTAAAAGTCGTAACTGCACAGTATTTTTGTTTCATGACATGAATAGCTGACATGTACACCATGACCCTCTCCATCTACACACAGGCCACATGGGGCTGGGTCTCATTTGAAATATTTGAAATCATAGTGCTGATAGATACCAGAATATTGGTGCACATAGTAAAATCTTTGCATAACTAAGAAAAAAAAAAAAAATGCTTTTCTACAAATTCCTTCTCACCTTCATTTGACAAAAGAAGCCAAATTTCTATTCTGATGAATAATTTCCAAACACAAGCTAAACCGTTTTAAATTGGCTACATTTTGATCTAAATCCAGAATTGATAAATAATAAGTATCAAGACTATGAAGCTGTAATTTGATCGCAGCTTTTAGCACAACACTTTTTGATACTTGGTGCAGCAGACCCATTTTGGTCTGTACCAAATATCACGTTTGATATTCCGCCTTACCGTTGCAATGCCCTCCTATGGGAACAAAACCTTCACACCTCGCTTAATTTTCTGCCTTTTCGGTCAGATTTCTCAGATTTGCTTCCCTTCCTTTTTTCTTTCACTCTCCCCTTGATTTCCTCCTGTGCCTTTTTTCCCTCTCCCTCCACCTTTTTCTCAGACTTCTCCTCATTCTCCACTCCTTTTCTTGATTTCTTCTCCCCTTCCTTCTCCTCCTTGCTCTCCTCTTCCTTTTTCACATCCAGTTGTTTTGCTTTTTCCGTCCTCAGTTTCTCCAGAGCCTTCTCAATCTCTTCTTTTTCCATCTTCGCCTCTTCCTCTTGCAGCCTGGTGGCCACTCTTTCCTTCACTCTGGCTGTTATTTCCTTCCTCCCTAGCTCCAGCTCCTTGTCGTCCTCCTCCTCTTTGGCCAGCAGCAGTCTGACCTCAGCCAGTGCCAGTTTGGCGAGCTTCTTGGCCTCCACACGTTCATGGATGACGGCCAGCTGCTGCTTTAGAGCCTCCCGAAGCTTCCAGCCAACCTCCTTGGTTGGAGAGGTTTCTGGGATGGATGAGCAACAACACTGTTGGATGTTTCACCACTTGTAAAATGAACAAAGACGTGCTCAAATTCACTTTGTTATTGGACCTCACCACACATCAGGCATGCATGTATAAGTCTGAATGAATTAGAACCCGTTCCATGCCATACTCGTTTTCTCCTGCAAGTTCTGTGTTGATCTCACTGGTCTGTATACTCAGTTTAAACTGGTGTAAACTGCATTAAACAGGATTTACAACAGTTTCGTCACATCCATGTTTAACCAGAATAGAGTACTAATTCAGCGCATCATTAGGCCAAACATCTTTAAATCACTGCAAATCCAATGACTCATTCATAAAAATAAAACTCATCTTAGATCCAACACTCAGTTGGCTCTAAGATCACAATGAGTTGTGAGTAGTTGAAACTTCATCCATTAGTCTAGCCCACAGTGTAACGCAGCACAGCTTCATGCAGGTGGCTGCATGACGATACCTTTCTGAGGTCCTCTCTTGGCTGCATCTCCAGGTGTTTTATCTGATGTTGCATACAAACAAGACATTATTTACTACACTGGGCTCCTTTAAAGGCTATACCTTAGTCATTACACACCATGAAGTGATCTGTCCATTGACACAACAAAAAAACATTAAATTGTACTTCATGCACAAGCCATTTACACAGATCCAAATACTATCAAGTCCCCTAGAAAAGCTGAAGCCAATCTCAGCCTCAAGCTGAAGTAAACCACACTGACTATTTGTAGCAGAAGGGCACTGTTGCTATAAACTTGGCTATACATCATTGAGACGAAACTCAAGATCAGCTGTGCAGAATCTGACCTAAGCCTATTTTATGCTACATTCACACCAAATGAGAAATCGCTGCAATATAGTGCAAGGTTATACGGCAGAGTGTCACTTAATAGCCCATTGACACCAAGCAACTGCACAGTGGTTAACATCTTTGTTCACTCGTGGCAGGGTTGTACAGCTCTGGATTGCTGGTTATGGGATTTGTCAGTGCAGCGTGACATTGGGTTGCATTTCTCCAAAGGTTCATACGGTTTCAACTTTGCACCCCTGCAGTCCCTATTTGCACTGCAACGCCTGATTTGGTGTGAATACAGCCATAGACCTTTTTCACAGCAGACATTTTGACTCGTCACAGCAAGCAAAGCTCAGGTGAAATACATTTCTGGCTAAATTCCATCAAGTGTCTCAGTAAGCCAGCATGCATAGAATACCAGGTCCCACAACTAGATCTTCACTTTAAATGTTATCAATGACAGCTGTGAAAAGCATTTATAATAGAGCAGACAAGCAAGGCTTTTGTCACCACCGTCGCATCATCTTACCGAAGCAGGACACATATCTACTTTGCAAGTTGCAAAATGGAATACTTGTGAATGTAGTGGACAATAAGGTCTCAGTTATATCTCATGATTACTGAAGTTGTACCAAAATACTAATTTGTAAAACGCCTATATGGCGATCACCAACTTAAAGTCACGATTTACCAACTGTTGAGTTCCTCACCACATCTCGTTGTACAAAAGAAAGCAAACTATGGTTCATGTTGAAAGACAAAGCCAGCAGCCCACTGAGCCCAGAGACTCTGCTCTCATTCCTGCCAGAGACTTATGTCCTCTGGCTCCGGTTTATGTCCTCCCTCTCTCCTCTTGAACCTTGGCACTGGCCGTTCAGGTTGGACTTTGAACAGAGAGAAATAATACACTTCAGCATTATCCCTGACACTAGTTAGCCACAGTAAATGGACTTAATCTAAAATATGTCTTCATTATAAACTAGCACCACATGTAGGAAACGCTGTTGACCGTGTCCGGGAAGCACCCAAAATGAGTTAAAGTAAGAAATATACAGTCACCACAGGGATGAAGGATTAGTTGACATATACCAACCTTCTAACCATATCGAGGTGCCATTTGTGATGGATTGTATGTTATTAGAGAACACAAAATTATATTTGCAATGAGTCAGAGGCCACATTGTTTTCAAAAGGAGTGCATCAGATTTCCTGTTTGCTTATGTCAGTATGCAAATAGTGAGCCACAGAAAAGTCCCATGTCCCAAGTTCCAGAATAAGACAGGTTTGCCAAAATCTGATTGAAGACAGATATGGGATAGAAGTTATGTAAATGCCAGGACATGTGGCAATAAAGACAGTATTTACAGAAGTGAGTGCCTAAGGCCTGAAAGAAGAGGCCTCTCTCTCTCTCACCAGATAGCTATGGCTTTATGCATGTCCGGTATTTTCCAGTGTTTTTGTGCATCATGTAGATTCAGTTTTCTAAAAAGCCAAAGCGACAGTTACTCCACCCCAGAGCAGGAAAAGCCTGTTTCTGAATCAGGTGTCACCCATGCATTCATAACAGCTATTACGTTCATGGCAAACCTGTTGACACAGAAACACACCCTCTGTCATATGCACTAAACTATACACTTGCAGTTGGTTTCAACAGTCTAAGCTGGGAGCAGCGATAGTAGAAACATGCCTCTTCCCTGGATCACTTCACTCTGCCCTCACATTTCTATAGCAGTGCACTCATCTCTCATCTTTGACCCAGAACACAAACTAACTGCAATGGCAACAATTTGGACATGAATGGATTCTACCTCTGCTTAGTCAAAAACATGAACCTTGGATTAAAGAAGCTACTGTAGGTGTAAGCTATTTTAGTCTGGTTTACCGTCATAGTAGGAAACACACAGGTGAAATTGATAACATTAGCAATGGCTCAGATCCATTAAGTATCCCAGGAAGCTATTCCAGCGAACCTCACACACGATACCTGGACCTACCTTTAGTGAAATACAGCTATCACTAATGTTACTAACACACATGCTTGGCCTCCTAAAGCATGTCTGCAATAAAAAAGGTCTATAGTTATATATGCTGCTGCTGAGCAATGAAACGAGACAAACAATATGTAGAATACATAAGAACCTGAAGCATAGGACGCATCAACTTGGCTCAATATATACACTGACAAA